GAGTTATCCCCTCCACAAGAGTACCAAATGTGGGATAACTCCTCTCCGCCCTGGGTTGGGTGAGAGGCGGAGGCTTTAGCGAGGGAGCACGCGGCGCGGACGCGACGCGCCAATTGAACCGATCGGACGAGCTCGCGAAAAGGGAGTGGCTCACTGGCCGGTTACGCGCAGTCGCCCCGTGGTGCGTAAACGGGAGCGACCGGTAACGGGTTAGAAGCCAGCGCGCGCGGCGGACAACCGAAACGGACGTACGTAGGCGCAAAAGGGACGGGGGCGAGCTTGCCCCCGTTTACTGGTGGGGACGGGTGCCAGGTCTTAACCCCGCAGGGGGACGCCTCGGACACCTGTCCCAGTACAGTAGTACAGTACCTGCCGCCTAGTGCGTGCCGGGTACTGTACACAATTAAAAAACTAGCGCCATAATTGCTACTACCGCACGGCCGCTGCTACTACACGTGTGCACCACTGTACACGCGTGTTGCTTACAGACTACCGCACGGACGACACGTGTGCTAACGTACACGTACGCCAGATTACGACCGCTCGGCATGCGCGCGCGCTCGCTACACGTGGGCACAGCCGCCCACGTGTATACCGTATACGGCCGTCCGATGACCTCCGCGCGCTCGCGCCGGTCATTATACTACACGAACCACGACCGATCGACCCATATCGATCGCGCCCCCGTGTCCAGGGGGACCCACACCTTGTCCGACCCTGCGCACAGTTGGACGACAACGTCGTCGTCGAGGCTCCTACTGCCTCCTTCGCAACGACACACCCTCTCCGCCTCCCTTGTGCGAGGGACCCGACCGGCCACTAATTGCGCTTGCTGGGAGGGGCGCCGGTCGCGTTTCCTTCCCCCGCACCTTCCCCCGACGAACCGAGGCCCCTTTCCGCCCTGTCGCGGCGCTTTTTTTCACAAGAGCGTGCGAGGTGGCCCTTCAGGCCACAGTAGTAGCACGTGGCCGAAAGAAAGCGGTCTTCGGCAAGTGTAGAGGGGGGCGTCGCGACCGCATCTGGAACGGTCGAGATGACTTGCTTCTCGCGACTGCTGCTGCTGTCTATGGCACGCACGCGCTCCGGTCGGGCTTTCGACTCGCGGTTGAAGCTGGGCTTATTTTTGCCCATCATAGACACCCTGCTAACTACCTCGTCGAACGTCCCCTGCACCGCCAGGGCATGATCGCGGAGCCTTCCGCTCAGAGATTGCGTGAATCGATCCAGAATTCTCTCTTCTGAGACCCTTTCCGGAAGTGCCACGGCAGCAGCGCGCAAGCGGTGCGCAAATTGACTGATGGACTCAGTGCCTTCGTCCCACTCCATCATATCAAATGCCACCCGTAGACTTCTCTGATGGCTTCCATTGCAAAGCCGATCCTGCAACAGGACCCAGAGCTCATCTGCGTCGGCATCAAGGTGCGCGGACGCGATCTCCTCGAAAATAGCCAACGCCGTTCCCGAAAATGCACAAGCCAGAAGACGACGATGGCAACCAGGTCGCACGGGGAAGTCCTGACAAATGCGTCTCCATGCCCTCCGGGCAGCGAAAAAATGCGGGTCTCCCGGCTTTGAGATTTTGACGGGGTCCATCGACTTACTGTAAATTTTGTAAGCTGTCTGGGGGAGGTAAAAGTCAGAGAAGTGTCTGCCATATTGTTCATCCCTCGTACCCGTTGGCGCCTGATGGCCACATCTGAGTCCCTCGCTAACCTTTGCCTCAAAATCATTCTCTGCAACAGATAGACCTTCTCCGGTTTCTGCCGTCTTCTGCTGGTTGCCGGTAGTCTTAACTGCATCTTGCGGCTGGGAATCCGCGGTTGCCATCGCGCTGGTCACGTTTGAGACTGTCTGTCCCATCATTATGATCGTCTTTGTGTTTCGGTCGATGGCTTCCATCATCATTTCCATAACTTCTTTCATGCTGGAAACTGCATGTAGAATCTGCATATCTGTGCCAGAAGCACCACGAACTGCTCCTCCAGCACTAGCAGATCCAGTCTCATCTTGTCGGGTCATTTCCGACACCAGAGACCTTGGTGTAGTGTGTGTCGGCGGGGTGATCGGCGCCCTATTGACCCCAGTCACCGGGCTTGAGGAAGGCAGGCCTTCAGGGTTTCGTCCTAAGCCCTTCGCTACGCGACGGTCCTCCTTATCTGTCTGATTCGAGCCGTCCATCGCGAGTTACGCCCCTTGTTCCTTGCCCCTGCCGCTCACCGGCAGTCTGATCGCAAGTGCCACGATCACTTACAAGCTTGTAATGTTGCGGTAATCCAACCGCGAGGCACCGAGCGAGTCGTAAAGTCGGGAATCCACCCACTTCCTTTACTCTTTGCTAGTTCGCTGCCCCCCCTCTCTATCTCTGAGGGTAGGCGATTAAGTACTACTCCCCGGGAGGCCTCAGCTGTCTCTGGTCTTTCCTCCCCTGCCCCCTTTCCTTTCGACCCAGCAGCTCCCGACCACCCGGCGCTGTCCCCTGCCCCAACTCCTACCGTCCATTGCCGTCCTCCTTGCCGTTGGCGCTACGCGCGACACCAGCTGCACCCCTTTTTCCCTTCGGAAGACTGGATTACCCGCCCTTTCGGTTACCTACATGCGCGCACGTGCACTCCTGTTCCGGTTCGCGATCCGTTCGTCCACGTTTACACGTGAGATTCAGTTCTTCCTCAACAGTACCAGGGTAACTTTACAGTCCCTCAGCTTGTTCCCTAAACCTCCTTGTCTTGCCGCCTCAAACGTCTTTCGACCTCATCTGCTATACGCCCGCGCCCTCTATTCCTCCGTTTCCTCCTTCTAGACACCAACAACTCTCTACCCTCCAATCCACCTGCCCACAGCCGGTCCATGTCTGCAGCCGCTTCAACAACCCACCCCGGCGCCCTCCAAATCTCCATTCCCTTCTCCTCCCCCTCCCCCTCTCCAAGCAATCCCGGCACCCTCAAATTATGCACACGATGTGTTAAAGCCTTCTCGATGCTCCTCACCAAATCCCCGTCCTGCGCCGCGTTTCTTCTCCCTCGTATCCGCCCCTCTATTCTTAGGTCCTTTTTTGTCACCACCATCGGAATGACGTATCTCGTCCTGTTGCTTTCCGGCCTGTGGAACAGCGCGTCCTTTGATAGCGTCGCGATTAGTGTGAATGATGGCTGCCGGTGCAGCTGGTGCAGTGCATATATATTTCCGTCGCGTCCGAACTTCACCTGCGAGCTCATCTTCCAGCGTGCCGGGCCCAGCCAGGAGCTTAGTTTCTCCTCTTTCATCGCTTCCCATTTCTTCGATAGTATGTCTGCTTGGATGCTACCGCTTTCTCCGATGTATGGGACTAGAGTGGCGTTCCTTCTGTGTAGTATCCAGACGATGTGAAATAAATCCTTGTCACCCTGGCCTTGTCATTCATGCAATAGGGAGCCCCTTTTGTCAGTATATGGATCCTAAAGTTGATGCGATATTTCGCAGCTGAGACATTAACATACCATGCTTAGGGCTCGGATCCTCTCCATTTCTGGTGAGCGAGCCATCATGCAAAGGGACGCCAACTCTTCTGAGCATAACTTTCTGTTGAGCAACACCACACCGGAATCAAAACCTTGTTTGACCCACCACGCCTTCATAGAGAAAGACTTTTGAAGAAAAGAGAGGCGCAGTATGGGAGCTAACTTAGTCTCATCGAAAAAATCGCGAGAATCCGGCCAAAACCTTTGCACAGTAAAGAAATCGTTAGCGTTCGCGAATTTCTACAATTTGAGGTCTCAGAAAGCGATCGTCTTGCCACCTACATTGCTCCTGTGCGCTTATAGTTACCATCTTCGAAGAGGGCATCTAGGGGTCGAACAGGAAATACGTCGCAGTCAATCCAAATTGCTTCATTCACCGCCGCGTGTCGTATAGCGAAGATTTTGGGGTATCCGTACATGTTTTTAGGGAATGTTTCCGGTATCTGAGCACACGTACAGAGAAGGTATATCTGTTAGATATGGGTCAAGACTAGGCATATACTGTATATTGTTTCATTCTCTCTGGCTCATTACCTCGTAACAGAATATCCGCACTTGTCCCAGATATTTCTCGGAAAGTCTTCGACACCACGGGTGGCTTTTCTCCTTCTCTTCCTTGAAATACCCAAACAACAGTGGAAGTGTAGATTTGGTTGCAATGATTTGGTGGATGACTGTCTCTACTCCTCGAGACATTCTTCGCGGTTTCCAATTCCCACGATGATTTTGAGGCTGGAATATAGGACAGGACATCACGATCGCTCGCGAAATATGGTTCCTTTCCCCCTGAATGAGAAGGCTCTCATTTGATGATGAATGCAAGAAGAGAGGTCTGCGAGTATTCTTGATACGGACAGAGAATGAAGTCAGTCCAATGCAAATGGAAAGGGCGAGTACGGTGATGAAATAACAAAAGAGAAGAAAACGGGGATGCGAGGCTTTTGGGATAAGAAGGAAACATTGAGTCATCGTCCTGTATCGCCTTCGTTTTCTGTGGCCACGCAGACTTGTGTTGAAGTTTAGAAGTATGCTTTTGCAGGTGTTGCAGCTCCATTACTGTCTGTTAAGGCAAAAGTCTTGCAATTTTATACTTTTTAGATGGTCTCAGTCGAGAAACACTGAATAAGGTTATGGGTTGGGGGAATGTAAGCAAGCTTTATCACTGGTGGCAAAAGTTCCAGTGGTGTCCTTTCGTCTGGAAGAACTATCACGGAGACCGGATATTTCCTTTTCAGAGGGAACGGCCGCAGCACTTGGTTTTTCAGTGCTGTAGACAAGAATTTGCGCTCTACAGCTACGCGGGTACATATTTGTGCAAAAGGCACGGCATGTAGACTGTTTGCTAATGAAAAGTGTAGGATGAAAGTGGCGTTGTTATATCCATCCTTTGAGTAGAAAGAGGTAACTAGAACCCGGCTGCCTTTTATGGAGTATTATGCCTTTAATTTTTAGAGCCTTTTCACGACCATTTCGTACAAGCGAGGTCTCGTACAACTGTTGGTGAGGATGAAATCTCACCAGCAGCAGTCACAATTATCCTTCGGCTTTGTTTCCGGTCGAGAACTCTGCACTATCCGTCATACTTTATTTTCTGGGATACCGATCTGTGTTGTTGGCGGCGCGAGGGATACGACTTGCAATCCACGGGTTTATAAGCCCCCTACACGAAGATTTGGCATCAACATGACTGTTGCTGATCTGAAATCAGAGAATTCGAACGCAAAGTTATGGGCAGTTCTCAGTCTTGACAGTGCGTCTCTCGTTTCTGCAAAATTTGTCTCCTCCGACGGCGGGAAAGTGCAATCTATTTGGACTCAACGTGATGTCATTGCTTCGCGAAAGCGATATTTCTCTTCTACCTACGTCCATTCGAATTCAGATACATATAGCAGCCCTGCTCCGGTTGAAATTAACAATTCTTCAGGTCTTGACTATTTTCATTCGCCTTCAGGGAAGAAACACCTAAAGTTTACGACAGAGCCTCGGAACAAGCAAGAGGGAAGCGTCCCGGGATCAATATTTGCAGAGGTTTGGACGACCGGGGGTGGTCTTGACAGGGTCTGGGAGATTGACTCCTCCATCCATGGGCCTATTTTTTCGGATGAATGGTTTGGTTCTGGTAAATGGTCTCCGGATGAGACCATGTTCGTTTACACTGCTGATCGCCCAAGAGCAACTCCACAAGATGAAACAAGGGACAAGGATGAATCCTGGCTTGAACCACTACAATATCGGTTTCATGAAAATGCACGAGATCCATTTGGAGAGGCATACATTGGTAAACGATCACCAACGCTGTTCGTTGCAGATGTGGTCGAAGGGGTGTCCTATCCGCTTCTTCAGGAGAATCCAAGCGATTTAAAACGGAAAATACTGGGAGATCCGAATTGGAGCCCGGATGGGAAACTTATCGTTGCAACCATGCGTCGGGCTACAGATGCTGTTGACGCAGATGAAGGGGAGGAAGGAGTGTTCTTGCCTCCCGATCTTGGACTGCGGTATTGCTACAACAGAATGTCTTCCATCGTGCTCATTGAGGCTCCAAGGTCTCGCCATGAGTTGACATCCGGGCCCCGTTCCATGCGAATCGTCTCAAACGCGAAAGATGCAGATGATTATTGCTGCAATTCTCCCAGATTTTCTCCAAGCGGCCAGGATATCATATACCTGAGTGCCCCACGATATGAGGATCCAAGCTTCCAAGGTAAGGTACTTCCTCATAACACAACCAAAGTTTTACGGGCCGTGCAACTGCGCAACAACAAGCTGTCATTGCCGCGGACAGTGATATCAGTACCTGAGAATCCCAGCCCTAAAGAATTTCCGGGGCTGTACCTTCATTCATTGCTCGCAAACCCATGGCTTGGGTCAGATGCCATACTGCTCACGACAACCTGGGGCTCTGTGAACAAAGTAATGTTGGCTGTCGTTCCACGTGAAAACGGCGAGCTTTGGCACGAGGTGGGAGATCTGAAACTGGTAGATTGGGGCTCAGCTCTTTCACTCGTAGACCTGAAGGATCATTCTATCAATGAAGATGACAATGTTAGTGTCTTGGATATATGTGAAAGTGCCGTGCTGTTGGCTGTGAGCAACCCTGTCATGCCGACTGCACTTTTCGTTGCCAGAAACAGCCTTTCATCCCCCATGACTGTCATGGCAGTCTCGCAATTGAGTCCTCGTGCGAGAGCCCTAAAGCGATTGCTTGATGTAACACACACGGTAGATCTTATTCTGCAACCCGGAAAGGAGAGTGGGATTGCAAAGGAATACGATGCAACTATTGATGAGCGGAGTATGCGGTTCCAAGTGACACTCATTCTGCCGAAGACTGACGGAACGAAACGCCCTTTCATAGTGTATCCACATGGAGGACCTCATGTGGCAACTTTGAACGGATACAGTCAAGGGACAGCTGCTCTATTGAAGCGAGGATTCGCGGTGATGTACGTCAACTACCGCGGGTCCTTGGGCCTCGGGCAAAAGTCGCTTGAAACACTACCGGGAAACGTAGGGACGCAGGAAGTGAGTGAAGTTGCACAGGCTACAAGATGGGCTCTATCAAATCCCGGGTATGGACTTGACCCTGAGCGAGTCGGTTTCGTAGGGGGCAGTCACAGTGGGTTTATCGGTGCCCATACGAGCTTGATACCTGGTTTATTCAAGCGCACTGTGCTGCGAAACCCTGTGGTCAACATAGCGACGATGGTAGGTGCATCTGACATTCCAGACTGGTGTTTCTGCGAAGCTAATGTCGGAAGTCAGAATGTGAACGGATGGAGATATGCTGCTGACTCTGAGCAGATGCGAGTTATGTATGAGGTGTCACCGATCAGTAGAGTTAAACCGATAGCTGACCCAAAGCAACGACCGGGACCTACCCTGCTACAGGTCGGAGGGTCGGACAGACGCGTTCCACCTCAACAGAGTCTTGAGTGGAAGCGAATTATGACGCAAGCGTACGGCGAGGGTAACGTCACTGTTCGGTGGTACCCGGACTCTGGACATGCTATTGACGAGGTTCCGAATGGCGATGATGCGTGGGTGCATGCGCTTGATTTTCTTTGCAAGCTCTAGTTTACTACAATCTCTACGTGTAGATAGAAGCTCAAGTGTTACTGTCGTCGGGTCAGTTGGTTACCGTTTTCGTTGTAGCGGGTGAGCACAAAGCATGTAGCGAGCTTGCCATCTTCTTTATTCTTTCAATTATTCCTTACTGTACTTCATTGGAATAGTACACGTGGTCAATAGCATTCACCGAATCCGATACAGTATGATACAACGAATCTTAATCGGTCTTAGTGGATGACACCTTGCCGAGTGAGAATTACAATTTGAGCTCATTTCTAAAGTGGTCGGATAAACGCGTTCTCATCACAGGCGCAATCGCCTTCTTCGGCATCCGCTGCACGTTAGGGTATTCGTCGCCTACCGAACCTTTTCCAAGTGCGAACGTCGGCAAATTGGTCCAGAGTCAAATTGAGCATGGCATTTGTGCCCACATCACCTCAAACCTCTTTGCATGGCACATTCACGGCTCGGCCGGCTCATCGGTGTTCCGTGCAGAGACCCCGTACTGTCCACCGCCAGGCCTTGCGAATGCAGACATGGAGCGATCCAGCGGTAACCCAAGAATATTTTGATTTTCTGAACAATGTGAATCAGCGCGAGCTCATGACCGACTGTACCTCCACTATCGTTGGCTCCGGCAGAATCGGAAATTTTCTGCGTGAACATGGCACCGGTCAAGATTTAGTCATACGGAGAGGCCAAAAAATCCCAGAAGATGCCCCTGGCCCGGTTTACCTCTGTACTCGAAACGATGACCTGGAGGAAATCATTGAAAACTGCCCAGAGTCGAAGAAAGACGATTTGGTCTTCATTCAGAACGGAATGCTGGAGAGGATGCTTCGGAGGCATGATATGTCTGAGAACACCAGGGCCAACCTCTACTTCGCGATTTCGAAGATGGATGCGGACCCTATCGACGGCATTACTGAAACCAATCCAGAGGGACTCACCGCAGTCTGCGGAAAATGGGAAGGAGCGTTTCAAGAGAGGATTTTGAAGGCTGGTTTAACATGCAAAATCTTGAAAGAGCGAGATTTCCGCAGAAGCCAGCTTGAGAAGCTTATCTGGATTAGCGTCTTCAACTTGATTGGAGCTGTGCATGGAAACATTCCGATGGGAGAAGTCGCTCAAATGCATGAGCGTGAAGTGACAGAACTGTCCATCGAATTGGCCCATATGATTCGATTTACGCTTACCGTTGGCATGCTCCCCGATATTGAAAAACGCATGTTGGCGTACGGGAGGAGAGTCAAGGAGTTCCCTACTGCTCTCAAAGAGTTCGAGTGGCGAAATGGGTTCTTTTACAAGTACTCCATGCTCGCAAGGAAGAACGGCTTCCCAGATCCAACCCCCATGCACACGTACGTTCTTGTCTGCTCTTCTTACGCCCGATGAAACTGCAAAGTGCGATATCTTTAACTGACATTCCTAATGTTTCTCTCATTAATCCCTGCGTGTCGTTCTTGTAATGGGCGCGCTATATCTCGTTATTCTTTGATCCAACAGTGGTTATTTAGAGGATGGGAAGGAGATGGGAATTGTTAGCTGGTAATACTCTTCTAGACTGGTAGAACGGGTCTGGAAGGCTATGTTTCCTAGCCAGTAATGCTTATGTTTTTGTACATACTCCAGGATTGAAGCGCTACGCAAGACATAACTACCTCATTTTGTTTGCAAGCTCAGCCTGAAGGCTGTGAAGCGATGTCACACCATATTACTCTTCTAATCCCGCATACACGGGCTAAATGGTTACGTCATATTGTTTTCGTGAAGGCACAACATTCGCAGATTTGAAAAAGAAGCGAAACAAGCAAGCGAGATGTTTTTGTGCCTCTTTTTTGATCTCGCCAAGGGCACAATTTCGATACTCATTTCGTATATTTTGATGGGCGCTGCAAATTAGATGCCTGAGAGCCCTTTGGAGCAGTCCGTCCAACCTCCATAGATGTCCTGACTAGCTGCAAAGAAAGTAGCTCCCTGCTATCTGTATTCAACCGATAACTTCTCACTCTCGTGTGTCATAGACAAGATGAGGTTTCACAGATTGGTATGGTTACCAGCCTCATGGAGTGCTTCCCAGTTGGTAGTTCTCGGATGTGTGCGATAGCCAAATGTTCATTGTCTAACTTGGCCTGACATATCCTGGCGTGTCAATTTCGAAAAGCATGGCGTCCTGGCAGGTCAGGACCACATTGGAGCTCTTGTAATCCTGAATGGTCCGTGCTTGAGTTTCAATCTTCTGCGTCTAGTGTGGCCACGAGTGCAAAGCTTAAGCGAATGTCCCATCGTTTGTGCGGATGGTGGAGCTAACCTACTTTACGACATAACGAGGCAATTAGTTCTTCCAAAGGACGGCAATGGATCTACAAATTTGGGGAAATGGATTCCATCACACATCGTCGGTGACCTTGACTCTCTGCGCCCAGATGTGCGACGCTGGTATGAAGCGAGAGGAACCACTATTGTGGAAGATGCAAGTATAGATACACATGATTTTCAGAAATCCTTGATAACGGCAACGGGGCTACGCGCAGAAGTTGAGCTACCTACTATTGTCTTGGGAGGACATGGCGGACGGATGGATCAGACCCTCGGCAATTTAAACACCTTGTATTCTTGGGCTGAGCGTGGTCATTCGATATACTGGCTTGACGAGAAAAACGCTGTGCTCGCGCTTCAGACAGGCAAACATCACATCAACATCGACGCTTCACGCGAGGGACCAAGCTGCGGGTTAATACCAATTGGGAAACCAGTTGCTTCAGTTTCAACCGATGGCCTCAAATGGAACCTGAATTCCCAAAAGCTTGCCTTCGGAAAAGACGGTTTGGTGAGTACTTCAAACTGCATTGTAGAACAAGTTGTGTCCGTCGAGGTTTCTCATCCCCTCATATGGACATGTGAATTACGGTACGGCCCAATGACATAGACATTCAGCTTTCTGTGTGAACGGCAAAAATGTCTCTATATGCGCTTCGCTCGTTGATTTGGCGAGAAGCTTGCCTCAAAAGTCATCCCTAGTCATTAGTTGATGATAAGAATAGTAACATTGTTCTTCCCTCGTAGATGCTTTAACGCACCAACGTGGCGAAGAACGTTGATAACCGACTTTGCAGTAGCATCTAGACGAAGTTTACCGAACCCTTTGATTTCAGCTTCGGTAAGAAACTGCTTGTCGGCCGTTTCGTCACATTCACTGTCTTTGAAGTCTTGATATAAGTTTTTATCGACGGAATTCAGATCGCGGTAGGAATTAGCAAGTATTCCATATTTGGCAGATGCAATCCTATTAAGACTGTCAACGACACCCTGGATTTTGTTGACCGTGAGACGCCCCTTGACGTATTGCGGGGCAGCATCTAATTGCTCTTGTGAAACTGAGCTGATGGTGGGAATGTTGGCTTCATCTGTTCCACATTTGCTGAGAGATCTTTTTGTCTTCGACATGCGCGGCGTCGTGGTCTTTGGAGGGCCTCCACGCGTCTGTTTCGGAAGTAATTTTCGCCTTGAAACCGGGGTGGTAGTTTTCGACCCCGTTCTCGGCCCGACAGACTCTTTGGGCTTGCATCGATTCTCAGTATTTCTCTTAACGGGTTTGTTTTCTTTTCTGATCGAATCCGCCGCATCTTCCTCGTTTGCATGCAGCCCCAAAATCTCGCCAACTTCCCCTGGTATTTGCGCTTTGATGAGCGAGTAGCGCTCCGTCTGGACGGAGATGGCGTTTTGAAGTCGGCGGAAATTTGTGAGTCGATTGCGTTCCTCTACAACATATCGCTTGAGGTTTTTCACGGAATCGTCGAGTTCAGTGACGGCGTCGGAAATGGACTTGATCCAAGGATACATTTTCTGTCGGCTTTCGTCGTCGCCTTTTCTCGTGCGGAGAAGCATGATTTGGTGCAGGGTGAGAACATCTTGTTTGAACGTCGATTGCCATTCGTCGAGCGGAGTCATCACCGTAGTGTTGTTGGAGGCCATCGTGTGTGTGAATGAGATGCCTAGAGAGGGGAAGGCCTTTGGGGACACCTTCGTCTGATGGAAACTTTGTTAATACTTCAGTCTGAGAGTGATTAAGGCTTGCGACTGTTTCGTCACGGATGACTGCGATTATGTTCAAGGAGATGGAGCACAGCGGAATGCCGCTACACGAGAATGAGCCTTTCGCGGGAAATTTCAAATTCAAACTTTCGGCATAATTTCAAGAATGCCTACAGGATGACATTTTTGATATCAAAATTTAGTTTTGAAAGCCAAAGAGCGCAATTTACTGTAATGTACAGAATGCTTGTACCCTTCGTATGCGCAACTATGCCTCCCTTGCGCATACTCCGGCGTACAGTGCAATACTGTAGTCCATGAGAATGCAAACAGACTCTCGGCGGAGTTGCACCTGCTACAAACATAAACGCATATCACACTGGTTCTTCACATCGGTAGGAATGTTTTCTCGTGTTCTATCTACCAAGCCCAGCCGCTGACAGCTGAGCGAAACAGATACATGTTCTAAAGAGATAATGTTCTTGATGTCATGACGCCTGAATGTATATGCCAGTCTCAACTAATTGCGATCAGGGCGCTAATATCAGCATAAAGGTGATTATTTTGATCCACAATGTCAGTTCTAGCGTTCGTGCTGCTGTCCCTTAGCTTCACTTACTCAACAACCGTGGGATGCCCAAAGCCAACAATGGAAAATGCAACAACAAACACGAGTGACAACTCAGGCAGCGCTACAACTGATCTTATAATTAACAAATTTACGATGTTTAGATACACTCGCACCTTTAGAAAAAGGTAACAAAACGGCGAAAAAACCCCAAAGGGACGGACTGCATTCAAAACGCAAGAGTCTACCTAATCGAACATTCTAGTTTTCCGGGGCGAAGCTATCGAGTCTGCCCAGCTGCATCCGAAGCACATCCTTCTCCAAGCGCTTAGCGTATGACCGATGCGAACGTAGATGCTTATCCAAGACCGAGCGCCCTTCATCCAGGCGAAGCACGTAGGCTGTCCACGCGGCCTGAAAGACTTGTGCGTGCTTGTTGTATGTTGAGCTGAGGCGATTGGTCAATGCCCGCAATGTTGTTTCGTAAACTTGTCGCCGCATATCGACCTGCTCCCTCAACAATGCCCTGCGATCATCGTCATACCCGCGACGCCCCTCCGTGCGGTCAAAGCGATCCCTTTCCGACTCGTAGTCTGCACGAGCAGTAGCGACCTTCTTAAATTCCTTTTGTAAGTTTCTAATCTCCTGCAAGTAAGCCTTGATCTGCCTGTCGATGATATGTATACTCGAGGTTTGCGCATTGTCGAGCGAGCGAGATTTGACGTCTTCCAGCAGACGATCGGCGCTAGTGACGGTGGATTCCCCTAGACGGCGGACCTCGTCGTTAGAGGGGTAGAGCGAGTAAAAGTCGTTGGCAAACTTGCGGACGCCTGTGTAAAGACGGTCATAGTCGGCGGTGAGAGTCTCTAAGCCGGCGACACAGGCCTCAAGAGCAGTAGCGACGTTGGAGAGCTGGGTCTTCACTTTGTGGAACTCGGGGTCGTGGCCGCGGTCGCGGCGGATGGTCAGAGGGGTTAGCTTGCGGATCCACGAGGCCATGTCGGAAGGGAAGCGGATTATGTTGCGTGAGGCTGAGGTAGACGATGCAGGGGGAGAGCGTAGGGTGGCAACTGATGGGGAACAGGAATAGAACAAGGTCGGGAAAGGAAGACGAGCCGACGGCAGAGATGAGCACCGTTGTGGGGGAGCATTATTCCATTTTCCCCCGATGTCGTGCTCCCATGAGAGAACGAGATTGAGGTGTGGCCCGACGGTGACCGGGGAAGCGAGGGAAAAACGAGACTTCAAACGAGGTGGACATTCGCGCAGGTGATTGGGTGTGGCGAAGTAGTCGTTCAGGGAATCGGGTGCATTGATTGGGCAGTGCGGGGGGAGCGGTGCGTCCGTTATTGAGCGTGATCTATGCGTTGTGAGACGGTGTTTACTCCAAGTACCTGACAGTACGTGTACTGTAGTGCTTTCCCAATTTTTTTTGTGAAGTTTGGCAAAACTAAACGCCCACTTTATGTGAAATTACAGCCGGCCTCGTTCTCTCGAGATATTGTAAGGACTGAGTGCATGTATGATACGTGACTGTATGCTGCCAATGGGCGATCCATCAGTTCCACATGAGTCGTTCCAAATGCAATGCATCCGGTCAGAATTCCACTCCTCAGTTTCAGTGCGTAGGGTGTCTTGCCTGTGAGACTGAAGAGAAAACCGAGCGTGGGATCGGGCAGCAATCCGTTTGAGTACAGTGTACCGTACAGTACAATCCCTCGAAAGTGTTCGTCAGAAACATTTTCTCCAACCACGCGCTACTGTACTCTTTCTTTTCACCAAGCCACCGGGAGTGTCCCTTCCTCCGTGATAGCCACTAACGCGACGACCTGTGCGGTGAAAACGCCGCCTACACGACAGGACAGCTTGGACGAGGCGATCGGCCGGGCCATTTCGGCGGTGGACTTCCCGCCGTGATGGACATGGAGGTGCCCAGAGCAGACCTGGATGCTGCGGCCAACCATTCACCATGTGCTACAGTATTCGTAGATTTCGTATGAGGCTAACTGAACTGAACTGAACAGTATGTCTCTGGCCCATGGACAACCTACTGTACGAGACCGCAGGAGGCAGCAGCTCTTTGTCTTCCATCCCCATGAACGAAACTGGTATCGCACTGTACGTATGCCTATGGTGCGCGACCACAGGAGTGCAGGCGGCGGCGCAAAACCGCAGACTCAGCCATTCTGTACTCACATGGGTCGCTGAGAGTGCGGACGTCGCCATAAGACTGTTGCCCCCTGAGATTTGTAAATTACTTTTGAGGGGGCCGGGGGTGCGGTGGGGGGGAGGGGGGGAGGGGGGGAGGGGGG